CCTAATCCTGTCCCTTACAGCCACAGAGAAAAGCTCATCTCTATCCTCTATGTAATAATCACCCTTCAAGCATTTAAAGACTTATCAAACCCTCCCCCACCACCTTCTCTTTTCCAGACTAAGTAATCCTAGCACTTCAAGCCAGGCTTTCTTCAGAAATCTTGCCTCCTAGGCCCCAAATAATTTTTGTTGCTCTGCACTCAACTCTCTACAAGACCGTCCATATCCTTGTTGAAATGAGGGGCCCAAAACTGGACACAGCACTCCAGATGAGGCTTCAACAGTGCTGAAAAAAGCAAAACAATTACTTCCCTTGATGTGCAAGTGACATTCCTGATAATACAACCCCATATACTGTTGGCTTTATTTTTGCAACAAGAGGACGTTGTTGGCTTACATTCAGCTTATGGTCTACTGTAACCCCCAGGTCCTTCTCTGCAGTGCTGCAGCCTGGCAAGTCATTCCCAGTCTACACCGGTGTATTGAATTATTCCATCTCAAGTGCACTTGGTCATTATTGAATCTGATCTGATTGATTGTGGATCATTTCTCCAACCTATTCAGGTGATTCTGGATCCTAGCCCTACCCTCTGGAGTATCTGCAAATGCTCCCAACTTCATGTTGTCCACATATTTGCTAAGTTTGCACTCAATCCCATTATTCAAATCATTAAATGAAGATAGTAAACAATACTGGACCCAAGACAGAGCCCTGGGGAGCACCATTTGATACCTCCTTCTGACTAGACACCGAGTCATTGATGGCTTTTCATTGAACAAGACTATGCAACCATTTATGCATTCACCTTATAGCAGTTTCATCTGCATTTCCTTTGCTTATTAATAGGAATGTTGAGTGTCAAAAGCCTTACTACAGTCAAGGTATAAAATCACACCCACTTCTCTTCCCCACCCACAGAGCCTGTCACTGTAGCATAGAAAGAAATCAGGTTAGTCAGGCAAGACTTGCTCTTGGTGAATCCATGCTGACTTCTCCTGATCACTTTGGTCTCCTCTAGGTGCTTCACAATTAATTCCTTGAGAACATATTCCATGATCTTTTCACGTATAGAGGTCAGGCTGGTTGGTCTCTAGGTCCCTGGATCTTCCTTCTTCCCCTTCCTAGAGATGAGCACTATATTTGTCCTTTTCTAGTCATCTGGGACCTCACCTGACCTCTGCAAGTTATCAAAGGGGATAGCCAATGGTCTGAAAACTACCTCAGCCAATTCCTTCACCTAGCTTCTCTAAGCATTTCTTAACCTGATCTGCCATTACTCTAGGCTATTTGTCTATATCCCCATCTTTGCTGACAACTGCACTTGTCATCTGGTAGCTATCCCTATTTGTGAAAACCAGAAAAGGTGTTAAATACTTCAACCTACTCTACATCATCCATAACTAGACTGACTTCTGTATTCCATAAGGGACTTATGGTTTCTCTGGTCTTCCCCTTAATTTTAATATATTTGTAAAAGATAATAAAGAGCAATCTTATGTCCCTTGCCAGCTGCATCTCAAATTGTGCCTTCCTAATTTTCTTCCTGCATGCCCATGAATATTCTTACACTCTTTCCTAATATTATGACCAAGTTTCCACTTGAGATGGGATTCCTTTTTTGAGTTTCAATTCCTTGAAGAGCTTGCTGTGTAGCCAGGACGGCCTCCTGTTGTTCTTCCCATTCTTCTGTTGCACTGTGATTGCTTGCTCCTGAGCTCTTAAGAGGACCTCCTTAAACTACAGTCAGCTGGATGCCTTTTCCCCTCAGATTTGCCTCCCAAGAGATCCTACCCACCAGTTCCCCGAGTTTGTTAAAGACTATTTTCCTCAAATCCAGTGTCCTCCTTTGGTTGCTCTCCTTTCTTCCTCTCCTTGGATCCTGGATTTATCTCTGCATTGTCACTGTCACAAGTTACTGCTCACCAACAGGGAAGAATTGGTTGAGAATGTGAAGGTGGAAAGTCAAGAAGAGCTCTCTCACCCCATCTTCTTCCCTGCCCCCCACCCCAGTTGGCCTTTCTACCATCTGTATCAAAAAATTAATCCCAAAACACTCCAGAAATTTGCTGGACTGCTTGTGCATTGTTGAGTTTCCCTCCCAGAAGATGGGCCAATAATTAAAGTCCCCCATGAGAATCAGGTCCTGTGATGTGGAAGCTTCTGTCAGTTGTTTAAAGAAGGCCAAGTCTACCTCCTCCCTCCTCCTAGTTTGGTGGCCTGCAACAGACTCCCACCATGACATCCCTCCTGCTGTTCTCCCCTCTCACCTTTACTCAGGCTTTCAACATGCTGACTTCCACTTTGTACTGCACCTATGAAACACGTACATGGCCTTTATATATAGGGCTACATCTCTTCCTTTGTTCCCCTGTCTATCGGATCGACTCTATCCTACCTGAACAAGCTATACTCACCCAAGACAGTACTCCAGTCACGTGAACGATCCAAGTCACCATAATCCCAATTATATCATAAATCTGTGCCTGTACGAGGAACTCCAATTGTTCCCGTTTGTTCCCCATACTTTTCATCTTAGTGTAAAAACATTTCAGGTACCCGACTGTCCTATCCTTTCCCTGAGAACACTGCTAAAGCTTCCATTATTGTTTCCTCTTACTATTTTTTATCCAGGTTTCCAGGCTCTTTACTTACCTCTGGGCTTTTGTTTCCATCTTCCAATGAACCTAGTTTAAGCCCTCTTTGCTAAGTTAGCAAGCCCATACAAAAAGACATTTCTTCCCACTTCCCCCTCTTCATCAGATGAACCCCATTTCTTCCCAGCAGTCCATCTTTGTGGAACACTAACTCATGGTTGAAGAAGCCAAAGCCCTGCTGGTGACACCACCTATGCAGCTACATGTTACATCTACAGGATGCATCTGCTCCTAGCTAGGCCTTTTCTCTTGACTGGAAGGATCAGCAACAACATCACCTGGGACAGTGTCCCTTTCACCCTCTCTAGCCTGTATAACATCTTGCCAAAAGTGAGTAAACAGAGGGGAAAAAAAGCGTTGCCCAATATCAAGTTTTGCCTTAAAGCCTGCCTGAAAGTTTCAATTCTCAAACTAGAAAAGATTCATAAGAACACTAGAAGAAAATGTGACCACTTGGACAAAGTATAATGGGCAAGTATCACAAGACTTCTTATAAGCATTAAATATCACAAAACTGCCACAAGATTACCAAAGTTATTTTACTGGTGAGAAAATAGGACATAAATTAGGCAACTTGCCTAATGACTTAAGTTTTAAGAGCCATGGTTAAAACTCCTTTTTAATGGTAAGTTACATTTCCTAAACAAAAGTTGACCACATTACCCATCTGAGTTCTAAAGAGCACCTGAGCAAGAGGGATAGCTTCATCTCAACCAGCAGCTAGCTTCCTCCAAAGCTTTTCCCTCCCTCAGTCACAAGTCACTGTATTTCTTGTGGGAGAAGTGAGAACTTTCCGTATATGCTTTCCACATTACAGGCATCATGCACGATTTGAGAACTGTATCCAGAGACCATAATATTGGACATGTGAAGGATATCCGTTATGCAATTTACTACTCACCTCAATTAAAAAAAAAAGTCTACTGCATACCACTCAAAAGGCTAGAATTCAAATAGTTTTCAAATGATCTTTGTAAAAAATTCTTCACAGCAGGCAACCACACTCAGTCTTCATACATTTGGACATTCTTTCTAGGGCATCTTGGAATAAAATGCTAGTCTATACTAGTTACTGAGGCCCTTGATTCAGAGCATCCAAAATAAGCTGAAAGGAAACTACCCAGCTCTCTGAAGAGACAGAAGGCAGGCAAGGTCAAGCTAGCAAGAGCTCATGGCACTTGATAAAGTATTATATACCAGTGTTCTGGCTTCACCTTTCCTCAAGAGAGGCCAATTTTAAGATAAGTTTTTCCACCACCACTTACAGATGAATGTAGACCACTGCACAGCTTAATTTCTACTTTCCAACCCATATGCAAAAGACTGCCAAATAATTGGTGATCTTGGCAACACAGAACAGAAAAATTCTTTGCAAGTTCAGTGAAGAAATGCAATCATGGACATGGGCAATCAGCCACACCTATAGCATCGCTGGAATGCTTAAGCAGTAGCCTCAAGTTTGCATTCACTGGTCTCTGCTCCCAGTTCAGTCCACACTGTGATGTAAAGGCAGGTGAAAGACACCTACCATCTTGCCTATATACCACAACTGCACTTTTAAGCATGCTCTGAGCATCTAGTCCGAGACATTTTGTTCTCACTTCATAATGCATTTCCCTAACCCATGATGATCTTGCCTCTGTTCAGCAATACTGCAGTTTAAGTTAAGCATAGGGTGTGAGGAAGCTGCCTTCTGCATTTGACATTTGCAACTGTCAAGAGCCATTTAAAAAATAATAAAAATCAAGGTTCTACTCACCAGTTTGATCGCTACATATTCATTGGTATAGAGATTTTTTCCTGTGGAAAAAAAAAAAAAGAAAAAAAACTTGAAGTACTGCATTTATGACAGACAATTTCTAATTTAAGAGGTCAAGCATGATAACAGTCATTATTCGACATTGAAGGCAAACAGCAATTTTAAGGTTACAATGGGCAGACTCAAAGCAAGCTTGTTTAATACATATTAAATACAATTCACCAAGCTAACATACAAACATTGTATTAACAGTAAAGGTACCAAAGATTTCAGCGCATGGATGGATACAAGCATGAATGCTCTGAAAAGAGTTGATATTCAGAGATATTTCCTGGACGTGCTATGGTTTGTCATATGAACCACAGTAAAAAAAAAAAAAAAAAAAACTGATTAGGTGACTAGCTGATGTGCTGCAAATTTCTTTGCAGTAGAAGAAACTAAACTAGTAAGGTGCTGGAGTAATTTCTTAATTGTAGTTTCAGCACAAAATGTTTCCTGTAAGCTAAGAACCACTCACAGTTGTTGCTCTACTAGTTGAAAGCCAAGATCTAGGGGAGATATCTCTACCTGTTACCATATAAAAAAAAACCCTGACAGCTTCACTGTTGATGAGCATGCTACCTTTTGAACTCTGCCAACACATGAGCACATTGTTTGAATAAAACTATGGCCTGTACAACAGCACAAACACTACCCTTGGCATAAGAGATGAGCAAAACTCAGTGGCAAAATAAGTATTCATGTAACATATTGCCTGAATTATTATTCACTACAAGATAAGAATGTGCCACTGCAGAAAGCTAAAAAGTGTTGGGACTTCAAACAAGAATATGCCACTTTTCTTGAGGACAAGTAAGAAGCAACATGCTCAAGTAACTGAAACTTATTAACAAAAATGTCCTGCAATGGAAAAAAAAGTTTCTAAAATTCTAACTTCTCCTAGACTTGTTAAGCATTCACTTTGCAGTTTCTGGAACAAGTAATGTATTCAGAGTCTAAAGAGCAACTAGGCCCATCACTAGTGGCATGCTGAGTGTCAGCTGAAATTTCTAGGTACCTGGACAACCCTAAAGTGGATATTAGGTAGGGAATGCTGGTCACCCTATCTCCATATTTCTTCCTGGGCATGCATGCTTTAAGGGAAGAGAAAATGGGAAGAGTCTGCAGATTCAACAAAAAAGAGACAGATACAAAATAGGCACTTTCAATCCCTAAAATCCTGTTCATTGGAGGTTATTTGCATGTTCTAGTTAAGAACAGAATTTTAAAGCCAACTTTACAAAAAAGTGCAGCAGCCTAGCTGCCCAAGCTGATGTGGCAATGAGAGGTGTCAAATACACCACTACGTTAAAATGCTGCTATTTTAGAAGCTTCAACAAAGCATGCCTAGGTAACATGTCACAAGCAATTTGGAATGCTCAAGCATTTTCCAAATTACAAAGATGGATCTTAATTACAAAGATGGACAGAGCTGGAAGTCTCAACCTAGCAAAGTAACTATCTACATTGTTTAGTGATAGCTGTGAAGGAACAGAATTTGAGAACAAGAAATACTGTTTGTGTAGATTTGGAACACTTCCTCTAACACAAGCACCAGCTTCACAAACCTTCAAACCCAGCAACAGAATTATTTTAAGGTAACACTCACAAAGCTTTTAAAAAAGCTATTGCATGGTAGTTCTTAACTGCTTTACCTCTAGACTCACTTCTTCAGCTGCAGTACTTGATTTGTGGCTGCAGAACAAACCAAATGCTAAGCAGATTTCCCATTAATGCACCCGGCCACAAACTTAGTCATGTGAAATGCTGCACAAAACAAGCACCATGTTCAAAGAAATTAAACTAAAAAAAAAAGCATAAGCTTGGTCTCCTTAAAAAAAATCAAAAAAAAAATCAATATTAATATTCATAAATAAGTGAGAAAAACTGGTCACTAAGTGCTTTGGTATGGATTCTGGAAACTGTATTTGGGCTGAAGTTTTGAACATTTGCACCTGTATCTTCCACTAATAACCCTTGACTGCTAAAGGAGATACTTGAAATACTATACCACTGGTTCTCAACCTTTCTGAACTCAAGGCACCCCACACTGGATGGGAGGAGCCCATCCATAACTTCCGTAAACTGAGTGGCATCCAATTTCAAAAACTAATTTCAATGCTTACTTCCTTGCCTACCATAGAGATCCTGCAGTGGGGACAGGATCCTCCATGCAGGGACAAGCCTGAGCCTGATCTTACCTACTTGGTTTATCTTCTTATCTCTTCACACCTCAGAGTACCCTTCAAAGGATCTGGCAGCACCCCTGGGTGACCCGACCTCCTGGTTGCGATCGCTGAATTATACCCATTCTAGTAATTCACACAGCCTTGGACATTGATGCCAAATCCCTTAATTCTCAACAGAGATACCAACAACATTCAGTGACTCTAACCCAAATCATAACTTAAGCCTAATAAAAGGCATGAGTATGCATCTGTTGAGCTGCCTGTTCAACTCTGCCAAACTTCAACCCATGTTATAGTTAGATGGTACTGGATTTACATACGTAAGGTTTCTGAATGTTAGGTTCCATGCAAACACCCCACCCAGCCCGAATAGTAAAAACAACATCCAATAAAGTACCAACCTTGTCCCCTTCCCCTCCCTTCATTTCGATAAACAAATTAGCGTAGATTCAAATTCCTTTCCACCTGCAGGTTATACAGCCTGGTCTCTGCTCTTCACCTCGTATTAACATAAATTTGGGCTGGGTACTTTAAACATTCTGACTGAGTGGCAAAACAATCCTTCATTTCTACTGAACACTTTAAGTAGGGAAAACTGTATACCAGGGAGATTTAGAACACTGTATTGCAGATCGGGGATACAGTCAAAAATGCCTTGTACAGAAACTTCAGAAGAATACATCCAGGACCGTAATGATTTTTATGAGAGATAGCAAAGACGACAAGGTGCTAACATGCAAGTGCTACAAGAGTAAGATACTTTTTGTGCTCATATGTAATCTCTTTAGCTCAGTGGTGTTCACCACCTCCACCCCACAGGGCCCTGTCCTCTGGCCCACAGGACTCCACACAGCAATTGGGATAGCTTCGGAAGCCATAGCAACTGAAGCGGCCACCACTCCCCCACAGCCCAATTTATGAACTCATGAAGAGTCCTATGAGCCAGATTACATGATCCTACACATCAGATGAAGCAGTATAGAGTCTAGCCAGCACACAGACCTGCTGTGTCTAAATCTGGCACGCAGGGCCAAACTAGGCCAGCATGTCAGATTGCATCTGCAGACTGACCCCTGCACTGGATCTAGCCTGCAGACTGACCCTGTCCACAGGACAGGTCTGTGGGACCCGAAAGTTAAGCGCCACAGTTTTAGGTAATCACATTTAGGTCTAGCTGCTTTTCATGGCATGTGTTAAATCAATCAATCAATACAAGCAGTGCCACACAGGTATGAAATGCAAAGGCTAGAACTAGGAGTTTGCCACCAATTACAGTATACAGATTTTAAAATGTGCAACTTTTTATACTCATAATAGATCACTACATTCTGGGCACCCCAAAAGAAGTTTTCATTACAAATATATAAAACTTCCTTAAAGCTGTTTTGGGGAGACCTAGAAATGGGGAAAAAAAGGTCACTATAAACCCAGAAAACAAAATTACTATCAGTATCTTATTTATATTATACTATACACCTAGGATTTTCAGACGTGTCTAGCAATCTAGAAGCTCAAGCCCCAATGGGAAGAGAGAGACTTGCATCCCATTTTAAGGTTCATAACCTGTTAAAAAAATATGCAAATCCAACACGTCAACAGGTTGCTTAGAGCTGCAGCACCTTCTACAGATACTTACAGCCAACTATAATAGAGAGAAAAAACAAGTTTCAAGTGTGAGAAATTGCACTTAATGGCACTCTACATAAAAGATTCCATTTGTAACTGAAATTATAATTGTATAGGAAGGTTTGGATAGGGATGATCCTGTCTCAGGGAGCAGGGGGGTTGGACTAGATGACCTTCCAGCTCTACTTCTCTATAATTCTGTAAATCACATCACACTCTTCAATCAATGCTGCTTTTGAAAACTCACAAATCTCAAGTCCTTGAAGCAGTTACTGTATTTTTATTATTTTATGCAGTACACAGTACAACTTCAGTGCAATTCATGGCACCTGAGCATCCAACTGTTACTAGTTCAGCTGTTAATAGTGGTTACAGCTGCACTAGAGACTGTCGTGCTGTATAGAAGTAAATGAGATACCTTGGGTACCAGAAATTTTCTTCAAGTGGCATCACAGAGCTCAGTACAGGATACAAAACCAGCCTGAAAAACAGGGTGCACGAGCCCATGCATTCAGCAACCAAGCTAACTCAGCTTTCACTAGACAACACTGTAGACTGCAAAAGATGTACCATGTCTTATCTGGAGAATCCAAAGAGGATTCTTCCCAAGCAGACTGATGTGATATCACCTTCATTTTTATTAAAAGTCTCCACAGTCCTTTCTGCAACTTGAGAAAAATTTACTCCCTCCAGTTAAGTTTTCCAGGGCAGTGGTCAGTGGGTTCATTCGGCCCCCTGCCAGAAAACAAAGCTGACCTCTGGCCCGAAGTTAACTAGCTTCTCAAAATGAGAGGATTAAAATTAGGCCCTAACTTTTCTGTTGTTCAATCTATTTGTGCTCTTCACCTATGAATGATTCAAAATAAGAATTGCTATATTGTGTTCAATTGCATTTAATTCTGGCTGCTAGGCTTATTTTTAGGGTGAGTTAGTTAATTTTTTCAAGTCCAGGTTTTTGTCTCGGTTTCAGTATCCATGGTGTTCCTGTGCTTACTTCTCAACAGCCTCTAACTGGGGTGCTTTTTGGTATATGGAAAGCATTCACAGTCTTGTCAGCTGTATCCCTTGTATGGTATTAAAGACACTGTTAATGCACTCATATCACCACCTCATCAGGTGCATTAACCACATGCCTGTGCAGGTGTCAGTAACCAAAATACAGGGGCTGCCACTGTTCCATGAATAAT